CGGTCGGGATGAAGGAAGAGGGGATAAAATTAAGAGACAGAAATGCCCATACACATAGGTAGTCTTTCATTTGATGTGAACCCCAGCAGATATTTCGGATTACATGCTTGGGACACACCCTGTGGTGGTTGCTGAAGTTGTGAGGCACAGGAAGAACTGGGAAGCCGTGGTTTTATGTGGATGAAATTCAGTATCTCAGGGTTTGAAGGTATCTGAGGTGCTTCAGATATACACCCAAAAGAGATCATCTGCTAGGGATCAGAGACAGTTACATGGGGAGGGGGCTAACAATTTCTAATCTTCATCATTACGCGTACCATTAAGGTGAGTAAATCAGGAAAGTTGAAATGAGCGTAGTAAATACTACAAAAGCTATTAATGTAAGGAAAATTTTACAGGGTGAATCCCGTGGAAGAGGTCACTTGAAAGACGAAAAGCATATGAGAGTATATAATTATTATTTAGTAGCCGGAAAGACCCGTTTAAATTCAGCTGGGAATTTTATTTTCATCGTTCACGAATATCTGCCTCATTTTCGTCCCTGATTATATTTATCTCCTTTCATTCTTTCTCCGTCAAACGTACGCATGCGTCCAAACCTTCATCATTCAGGTGGCACAATTTCCTACACGAGGTGCCACATGCGTAAATAAGAGAATACATTCCCATTGAAAATGCGTGAAAATCGCATAATATACACAACCAATCCTAAACCGTCTCCTGTTATGTAGTTCTGAAGCATGGGTGAAGGGATAGTTTATCGCTGTTTGTATTTGCTCGCAAGAAATGATTTGACAAGAGCTGATAATCGTATAAAAATGGACCTTACACAGAACCAAGGCTGAACGAGGTTACGGTCTCTTCCTTAAAGTGCCAAAGTTGATGGGGCCTCTGCAGTGACGTCACCTTGCATTCAACGGTTAGCAGGGAATTTGAAGATTGTGTTCAATTTCGTTTCTTTCTCTCGAAGCGGAAAGATGTTGATATGTTTTTAATAACATAACAACGAATGATAAGTTAATAAACCATTTTAGTTTTTTTTTAATTCGCTTAGTGGGGGGTGGAGTCCTGTTGGGTACATTCGACACGGAGGCCACTGATTGGCCTATTGTACCTGCCCCGGTTGATTATGATGATGGAGAATTTGGTGGAATGAAGATTGGCAGGGGAAACCGAAGTACTCAGAGAAAACCCGCCCGAGCGTCAGTTTGTCCACCACAAATCCCACTTGACCAGACCCGGGATCGAACCCCGGGCCGCCGCGGTGGGAAGCCAGCGACTAACCGCTTGAGCTATGGTGCGGCCTAACCATTTTAGCTTACTTTCCTTTCTTAAGGGGAAGAGTAGGCTTACCACAACGTATTGCGTGTCTTCCCTTTCTGAACCAACTGAACGGTATTCGCGAAATTTGCTGCTAAGTAATCCTTGTCTCTAGTTAAACGAATAAGATATTTAATAATACAATTCCTTCTGCGCAAATTATTTTGTCCACGGTAAGTTTGGAAAATGGGCTGAATGGCGCAAGAGAATTTTATACCTGGAGTTCGGACAGAATTCTCAAGACATGACCTACACCTCTTGTGTCATTTATGTCATATTTAGGTATAATGTAAATTTATATTAAATAAAAAAATGCAATTCAGCTTACTGATTAGAGTACTGGGTTCGTGCGCGGACGGTTATACAACCAGATCCTATTGCTGGCAACTGTAGTCTAAAGTATGTTACAGATTATTATTATTATTATTATTATTATTATTTACTTCGTAGAAAAGAATGTATTAATTAAGTACAGATTTTGCCTACCACAGATTAAATTTATCGGATATAACCTGAGATTTATACACTGTCACCATATTTATGAAATATCATACACAGCTTATAAGAATGCTTCTCATCTCCATGCCAAATTTTTCATGCCGAGCTTCAATAATTTTCTAGTTCTCGTCTTCAAACAGGAAATTAAATGCGCAGTCGCCATATTTCTTTACAGTTAAAAAAAATTACCTGACCAAATGTTGTGCTTTTTTCGAAGATGTGTTGCTACATGTAATTTCATGACCCTAGACCAGGCGGGGCAAGTATCGCAG